TAGATAGATAGATAGATAGATAGATAGATGGATGGATGGATGGATGGATGGATGGATGGATGGATGGATGGATGGATGGATGGATGTTCTAGCCAAATATGACCTACCTCCCTCCAATTTAACCAGTACCCTTTACCATATTAATCCAATTCAACAGCATTTTGGAAGAGCGGTCTTATTATTAAAATATATCCCAAAGGTGCTTTTCAAAAGGCAATTGGAGTTTCCTCACCTGGATAATTGAGCATCTCCATGGACATTTACTAAAATATACTTTCATAGAAGTTTGTCTTTTATAGCAAATAGAACAAGCTGTCCATATGAAAAACATTGAATTCTGAATTAACACCTGGAAATTCCGTTCTGGTTTGTATTCAGTAGCTGCATCTCTCTTTTTCCCTATTAAAAAAGCACCTTGCCTGGCCAAAGTGAGTGTGTGCGGGATGCCACAGAAAGGCTTGAAATGAGGAAGGACAAGAAATATTTCCAAGGCTGACCACAATGGACTTGGCAACCACTTTCAGTTTTGGGAGCTCTAATTTTGGGGAAAGATTAGCTTTTCCTCACTAAGGAAACTTAGAAGAACCCAGCCCTTTTTGGTAATAGAAAGAGCGGCAAGGAGGAGGAGGAGGAAGATGGAAATGGAGGAGGAGGGGGAAGAGGAGAGGGGAAGGAGAAAGAGAGGTTTGACTCCTAGCCCTCTCCTCCATGTTTTCTTTGCTGCTGCTGGTTATCTTGCAGTACAGAAAAAATCAAGAAGAGTGGGAGGTGGGTGTCAGCAGGCTGTTAATGACTCCTAAAAATAACTATAGGTGAGCTGCTACTTACCTGACTTTTTCCCCAGGATCCTTCTCTGCTTCCTTTTTCTTCATTTTTTATTCCTCTTTGTTCACCCTACTACTTCTGCTACCACACCAACTTCCTCACCTCTGAAGCCCTTTTCCCTTTTTTTAAATCATCCTTTGTGATTGATTTTTTAATCGTCTTTCATGGTTTCTTAGTTGGGTTCTTTCATCTTATAGTTCTTGTATGCCCAAGTAAAAAACTGAACATAAGACGTACTCAAATACCTGAAGGCCTGGGGAAAACATTGGAGTATCGTTTGGCTAAGAAGGCTTGTTATTAAGTCTTCAAGTTTGGGACTATCATAACCACAACCAGAATCATTTAATTAAGTATCACTTCAGAAGGCAGGTTGTAACATGGATTTCCTAATTATGGTGATTAGTTAATATAACAAACAGGCCTTCTTTTGATTTGTTCAAAGAACCTTCATTGGACTCTTAATAATGATTTTGAAAAACAATAAGAGGCGATCTGATCCTGGCCCATTTGGGAAACTGAGATCAGAATGAGCAACTTAAGGGAATTGTGTGCTTGGAAGGCCATCTTCTCCAGCAAGTATGTCAGTGGTTTGGTGGTAAGCTTTTTATAACCATTCCTTGTTTCTGATATTTCCCCTTGCCAGAGGTGCTAAATCATGGCCATTTTAGGAAAATGGCTCATAGGAAATGGCTCACCCACAGAAAATGCATTCAGTGTCCTTTCACATCCTTTGTTAATAGCAACTCTTGCCATGACCCATGGACAGATGATCTTTTGAAAAGCTTGTCCACTTCCCACTTCCCCTAGGTAGCTTAGGAGTGGCAGGCAAGTGACCTAAGCCTCATGGTTTTATGAGATGCTAAGTAGGCTCTATTCTAGGAAGTTGCTTGACTAATTGGTTTTCGATCCGTGCTGTAGGAAAGCACATTAAAAGGCCCAAATCTTTACAGATTTGTTTTCAGGCGCTGCCATCTTGTGTTAAATTCAAGCAAAATTATTTGATCCGTTATATTAGAAATGAGCTTCTAGCAATGTAGAGTCAATGTTTTATTTTCCTATTTTTTATGATAACCTGGCACTTTGTACTTCATTCGGCCTCTGCAGAGGGAGTTCTGTGAGACAGTTTAGAGCTGGCCAACTTCCTGCTTAGAGCATGTTTGTACAGGGTGTTTGAAACCCAATGAACTGCAACTTGAAACTTTGAAGTCTTTCAATAAATTCCTTTTGCATGCAATCATTTACAATTGCAAAGCAAAACTGTGTACAAAGAAGACTGCAATCTCCTCTTTTGACATTTCTCTGTATTGGGGTTTGCAAAAAAAAACAAAACAGGTCTTATATGTAGAAAAGAGTAGAAAGTCTAGAATTTTTTTTCTTTTCTAAAGCAAGGTGTTATAAAACTCTTAAGAGCAACCACATACACATTCCATTAAAACAGGAGCACTAAAGCCCATGGAAATTGTTTTGGAAAATGAAATCAGGTGCTGTGCAGGTGACAAACTGAAAAGGTGCCATACAGGTGGCAAATTCTTCCAGTTCAGTACAATTTACAATCTGTAGGGATGTGATTGATGTAGATCAGCATGTTGGCTGGGGAATTCTGGCAGCTCGAGTTCACACATCTTAGAATTGCTGAGGCTGAGAAACACTGATATAGGTGCATATCTCAGCTCCATACTGCTGTCAATTTGCTTTGATTATGATAAACACCCTCGGCGAGGAAGACTAATGTACTTTGGTTTTATTTTAGGCAATTTATTTCAAGCATTTTATTCATGTCATACACAAATATGTTTATATAATTGTTCTAATTACAATCTGTAGGCTTTATGTCATGAAATATTTCAGGAATCTGTGAAACATGTGCAGTACCCTGCTTTTAAGTTGATCCCTGTGAAAATAGGAGGAAGGAAAGATGATTGCTTGCTCTTTTTTCATCATTATTGCTGTTTTCTCATTGCTTATCTACTCTGTTGCTTCCTGTGGTTACAAAATCATATCTTCATCCAACAGTAGGGATGTGCCCAACTATTTGATCAACATTTTTATTTCTATTGGCCCTGCTTGACCTTTACTAAAAGGGTGGTGGAAGAGAGCAATATGATTTCCTTTCCAACCTACATCAGTTCCCTTCCACCAGGTGACCTCTGTCTGTCTTGAGCATCAACTTTAGAATAACAGAATTGGAAGGGACCTTGGAGATCTTCTAGTCCAAACCCGGCAGGAAACCCTAAACCACTTCACACAAATGGTTACCTAATCTCCGCTTTAAAAATTTCAATGTTGGAGCATTCACAAACCTCTGGAGACAAGTTGTTCCACTAATTAATTGTTCTAACTGTCAGGAACTTCCTTTATCTTTAGCCAAGTAGGCTTTGCCATCCAATCATGGAATCTGTAGGGCCAACATATCTGGAAGACACTTGTTTGGGAAAGGATTACACCAGTATCAATATTAGGGTGACTATTTTGCTCTACTATTTGAAGCTTGGATCTCCAATCCAAGTCTATAGATAAAGGGAAGTTTGCAGTTGCCCATTTAGTATTGGTTCTTATATACGGTAATAAACTGTGCAGAGAGACACACTGCATTTTTATTTAGATTATCGTTATGATTTGTAAAAGCTTTCAATATATAATATACCGTGCTAAAAATTTAAATTGACATTTAGGTATGAGGTGTAAGAGAGAAATGTTGATATGATCAGTTTTTATTAAATTTATAGAAGGCCTAAACTTCAAGTATATCTATTTATTCACTCCATTTCTCTGAAATAGTAAATACTGTAAATAAGACAGAGACTATGGGAAAGCCTATCTGAAGCTTATTAATGAAACTGAGGGTGATTTAATTTCCTTTGTACTTCTTGATACACGAAACTCCACATTGAATTCTGGTTGACTATGGAAACCAGGCTTCTGAATCAATCTATCTTTGTTTTCTTTCTGAATCAAAAGTACCTTTAATTCCTTCTGAATTAAAATTATCTTTCTGAATTAATTCACTCCAGATGTGTTGGAATTATAACTAACTACCCATTATAAATCCTGCTTCCCACAAGGGTGCACATTTGGGGAATTCTGGACCTGAATCTATCTAGAAGACAGTCTATTGTGAAGGATCTTTAAAGACAGTGCACGAAGACACTATCAGTTTGCATGTAACTGGTTGGTTTTTTGAAGGATACAAAACAATACCCCTGGATAGATTTTCTGCTAACATTATTTATTACTAGTTTTGCTGCTAACTAGGTAATACATAGAGATAGTCCTCAACTTACAACAGTTGATTTAGTGATCATTCAAAGTTACAACGGCACAAAAAAAAGTGACATGACCTTTTTCACAGGTACAACTTTTGTAGCATCCCCATGATCATGTGATCAAAATTCAGACGCATTGCAACTGGCTCATACCTATGACCATTGCTGTGTCCCAAGGTCATGGGATCCCCTTTTGCAACCTTCTGACAAGCAAAGTCAATGGGGAAGCTAGATGCACTTAACAATCCAGTTACTTATCTGGATTATCAACTGTAGAGATTCACTTAAACAACTGTGGCAAGAAAGATTGTAAAATGGGGCAAAACTCACTTAATAAATGTCTCACTTAACAACAGAAGTGTTGGGCTCAGTTGTGGTCATAAGTCAAGGACAACCGGTATATGATGAGGTAGCATCAGCACCAGTGACCTGTCACAGAGTAACTTGCAAACACTGGCAGGGTTAGGATTTCAACTTGTGTTTCTCTGGTTCAGCATCTCAACATAAGTTCTCTGGCTGCTGATTTCATTAATATGCTTTATGCCTTCTCAAATGGTTCAGCATTTTGAATGAATTACAAATAAGAAGTGTAATGCAGCATACAAATAGGAGGAAGAACTATTAATCATGTTAATGAATCATGTTAGAGTTCCTTCTTTCAATAAATAGATGGAAAGTGTGCTGGGATGCACTTCCGGGATTCCATACCCGTGTATAACTTTGTACTCTGTATGTTTCTTCTTCCTCAGATATCTCAAGAAGTGCAAGCTTGTCTGAAACAGAGCTGAAGGAAGCAAAAGAGAGGAGCCAAAGAATTGTTGCTCAGTTGACCAATCCACCAAGTTCCAATTCCAAAGGAGTCCTGCTGTTTCACAGACGCAAGCAGCGAGTGAATGCATTCACCTTAGGAGCCCCAAAGCCAATCAACCCAGAACGAGGAGTTGCGGAGAAAGGCCCCAAAGCTATCACTCACCCGTGCGCTCTGAGCCATGGGGAGGCATCGCATCTGAAGCAGACTCCAAAGCCAAACAAGGAGCTGAACGCTTCACTCTGCCTCAATAGTTTTGGACGCTGGGGGCAAAAAGTCACCATGGAAAAATACGAGGAGGAACTGGGTGTGGAACATCCCCTAGATAACGCACAGGGCCTTCCGTGGAATAAGGAAAAGAGCGAGACGATTCTTTATTCAACAAACCCAACATCCTCTAAAGATATTCCAGAGGAAGAATTTCAGCAGATCCCGCTCAGTGTATACCTTAAAGAGAATACAGGGACAGCTTCAACCAACGGAATACATGAACCTCTCACTGAGTTTGGAAAAATGCCTATGGTTGAGCAAGGACCAATTATGGGCAATACAGAAAATATCCCAGCTAAGACTGAGGATGAGGCTACCCCCAAGATTGAGAAGAAAGATACCATTCTTGAAAAAGAACTGTACCTTCTGCATATGGATCGGGAAAATAATATTCTCGATAAAGAACCGTATCTACCCGTAGTTAGTGAGAAAAACAACAATATCCCTGACAAAGATCTGTATGCTGCCGTCATTGATAGGGAGAATAATATTGTCCTCAACACGACACCGAGCGAGCCAGTCATAGACAGAAAGGAAAATGGAGAGCTGCCCTACATGGAACAAGAGGAATTGGTCACTGACAATGAGAACATTTTTCCCACTGCTGACACCGAAAAAGCCACCAATGTATGTTCTGATGAAACCAGCGCACAAAATCATAGGCAGTATTGTGAAGTGCGCCTCACTTTGTCTAAGCCCCAACCAGTGAAGAACCGAACTGCAAGACCTTTTGGCACTCAGTCACTTGCTAAAATCCTCTCACCAGCAGAGAAGAGTCCAGTGGCAGAGATTCCTCCACCACCCACCTATGCAGAAGCATTTTCCAGCCCTCCTCCGGTGACTAGGGTCAGGTCACCACCAGCTTACTCAGCACTGTATCCTGGTCAAGAACAGAAAATCCTGGTTCCACCTGAAACTAGGTCCAAAGACAACAGCCCAGGACCTCAATTCAGAGAGGATAAAGCACCACCTCCAGATAAAACAGGCATTCTGGAGGAATCTGCAGCCCGCAGAACACCTAAGAAGTCCATGTTCACCTTTGTGGAGAAGCCAAAAATGGGTCCCAATCCAGATCTTTTGAATTTAGTACAGACATCAGATAATAAAAAGAAGCAAGGAGGAGCCTTTCCTGAAGATGAATCATTTGCATTGGGTGCAGATGCCTCTAACTTTCTAACTGAAGATCGATCATTACATGGACCTACTCAGTCCCTTGGAGATCCTCCACCGGAGTGGTCTTCATGTTTAAGATCACCAAAAATACAGCCTAGACCTAAAATAATCTCCAACCAAAGCCTATCTGAGGCGAAAGGAAAGGGGGCAGAACTGTTTGCCAAGAGGCAATCAAGAATGCAGAAGTACGTCATTGAAGCCCCATCCCATCCAGATATAGCAAGATCACCTTCACCTACAATGTCTCTTCCTCCATCCTGGAAGTATACTTCAGAAACTCATCTCTCCCCCGTGGCATTCCAACCTACACTCAAAAGTCCATCAAGATCTCCAAAAGGCCCCCCTGTATCTTTCTACAACAGCAATTTGACAGAAAGTGAGGTCTCCAAAAAGGAGTTGGAAATCTCCAAGCAACAGCCTTACCAGCTTCGGTCACCCACGTTTGTTCGTTCCCCAGTCAAAGAGCCCATGAGATCTGTAGACCCTGAAAGGGGTTTTATGAGACAGGCATCTTCCTCTACTTCGCCCAAGACACCTTCTCCTCTGTTGTACCCACCTGTCCAGTCCAGCCCAAGCAGAACATTGCCTGGCCTCTTTGCTCCCTTACCTGGAAACATGTTTCCATTACAGAAGTTCAGAGCAAATGCTGAAATATCACCTGAAGCGTCTTTTGATCATTCTTCTAAAATTTTGTCTCCAAGAGCTAAAGGAGTATTCCAAGCTCCAAGACCATCTTACTCCACCAAGAATGCAGGGATTGAGCCTCAGGTGTGGAAACCTTCTTTTTACTATAAGTAATAGGTTTTAAAGCGTGTGCAAGGGTTCAGGCAAAAGACCTACATCGTTGTTAGCTTATGACTGGTGGTGTGCAAAGAAAACAAAAAAGCAAAATGAAAGCAGCTTAATGAGTTGTGAGTGCAATTAGATCTTGCAGAAAAGTGCCACCTCTCAAACCATAATAGGCTAAGTTGCATTGTCCACTAACAAAACTGAGCAGGCTGGTTTTTTTTGGAAAAAAACCAGTTTAGCCTAATGCCAGCGTATCTCGGCTAAGCCAGTCCTGATAGAACTTGTGCAATTGGAGTTGTTCAGCAGTGTGTGAATTTAGCCCACAAAAGAATATAAAAATAGTCCAAGCATAGGAGCCTTAGAAGATTATTAGCAGAAGCTTGACTGAAGCAGGAAGACATGCTTTCTCCTTTTCCTCCTGCCCAGAAACTCTATGAACATCCAATATCTGGCTTCTTCTTTGCCTTACTTTTATTTTTTGGCTTCTTTGCTCTGAAGGGTGTTTTCTCCTCTGTCTTCTCTGCATCCAGAGCCTCCACTGCGACATGCTCACCTTCTCTGTTCTTTGCTGATGCCAAAAGACGATTCTACCTGATGCCTGTTCCTGCCTCTGCTACCTTTGTGCTTCATTTATTTCTCCTCTCTAATTTTATTGTCTCTCTTAGATAACAGGACACTGAATACCTTTGGGGTAAATACATGTATCATAAACATAATCCAGAACACAAACCTCATTATAATGTCTTAGCATCCTAATACGCAACATTTAATTTAATAACAACATTTAATGCCCAGAAGTGCTTGGTGGACTAACCCAGCTTAGAAACTTCAGAAGTCACACCTTACCCTACTCCCACGCACCCCAAATCCTTTTGATGCAATCAGGGAATAGCTGCAGATGTTCTGCAATTAGCTTACAATAAGTTATATGATGACAATTTTATCCTCCTTATACTGGGATTTAGGAGTACACAGAGACCATTGTTATCATTGACCCAAAGGGCCTCAAAGCAGTTAAACTGCCGAGAGATACATGTAGCCAAGCACCATGATTTAGTCTCTGGGAAATACAATGAGGTTTCATAAATTCGTTTGAAACATTTTATACTGGCAGAATCCACTCACAGTGCAATTATCTCTCAGAAGAACCCTTTTCCAGCACCGGTGACTATTAACAGAAATCAGGGATGTGTAAAATATAGTCTCTGTGGTACAGTATTTCTTCTATAGTGTCTCAGTACTACAGTATTTCCTGCTGATGCTAAGGTCTTGTGGGAGGAAGAGGTTTCAATGCTGACATGTTTTTCTGGTCATAATAGGATTGATTTTCCTTCAAGGGAAAAAGGAACACCATGCTGTTCCCTGAAAAAGATTGAAACTAGAAGGCAAATAAAATGATTTTCACATTTTAACACTTAATCTCTTATTTAACATCCATTGCTCATCTTTCTTTGGGGTTTGAATGACTGACTATTTGGGACTAAAAGTATCACTGAGATGATACATTAAACCACAGAACCAACCTGATCAGGCTAAGCCTCTGGTATTTAGAAGTAAGAAGTAAGCTCACATAGCTACAAGTAATTGTTTTCAACTCCAATTCTTTTAAGTTGCTCTATTCTCCTGAACAAGCAAGGCAATCAATTCCTTGTTTCTAAT